GCCATTCTAGCCCTTTGAGCGCGGTTTCACGGCTCACGTGGGTGTACTGCTTGCCCAGATTGTCTACGCCGTAGTCGGCCAGGGAGCCTGCGGTGCGCCGGTGGTGCAGTATGCGCAGGACATTGTTTCCGTCTTGTGGTGATAACTTGCGGCCAAAGATGCGATGTACGGTTGCTTCGCTGACTGGCCCTTCAGGGAGTGGTCCTATGCGTACAGTGCGCTTGCGAGATTGCGGGATGGCGGGGTTCTGCGGCGTATCGATGACTCTGGCGCGGTAATGGGGGGTGCAAGCAAAGAAGCGACATTGCGGTCGTGATGCCCGGTGCCGCTGGACGAGAGCCAGTAACGGAGATGTTGTTGCCTGTCGAGAGTGAGGTTGTGTAGTACAGAGGCGGCGCGCGAGTGAGGCGCATGTCGGGCGGAGAAGAGACATGGCGAATTGTGCGCCTGTCCAGCCCCAAGCGTTTGCTATACCGAAGCAAACAGGGTGTCAAACTGCGAGTCTATAACTTTCTATAGTTATCTAGTGTCTGCCAATACGCCAGGGCGACCATTGCATGGTGAGTGTGCTGCGAGCAATGGCACACTCGATGAATGCATCATACATCGTCCTCCACAAAATGTTGCCATGTCGGAGTCTGTGCTCAGCCCTACAACATCACCATGCATCTGCATACATGGTAGATCCACACTTTACTTCTTCATTCAGCACCAAGAGCTTTCAAAGTCACTGCATTTTGCATTCATATTTATTCAATCATCATGATATATACATTGCTCCTCTGCTGGTTTCCCCCAATGAACCCACTACACTATCAGCCTACACATACGCAGACACATACTCGTCCTTCTCTAGCTTATCCTCAATATCTTTAATGGGCGACACATAATGAGTGTTCAACTGTATCAGTCCCTCATTCATGAGTAGTGCCACCATATTGCCAAATACAATGCTTCCTCCATCGTTGAGATGGGTATTGTCCGAAGGCGACAGATTGTACGTATGCGCTTTATCAGGCCCAATGGCATTTAGGTACTTTGTGCTCGCCGCATTGAGATCTATATATTGCGCGCCAATCTGCTTCGCCACCTTTAATGTTGCAGCCGCCATGTCTGCCAGGTCCTCTTTGATGCGGCCAGCCGAGTCGAAATTGCGTCTGCTGAGCGGAGTCACCAAGATAGGCCACGCCGATACGTCCAGTATATCCTGGACAAACCTGGCAAGGTTGGCCGAGTACTGTTCAATCGAGATATTCTTGGCCGGCTTCTGGTCGTTGTGTCCAAACTGACACACTACGTAAGTGTCGTATTCTTTGGTTGCGGCTTTTGCGGCTGCGAGAACGTTGGCCCAGTCGCCTCCCTCGCGGAACGACACCGTCGTCGCGCCGTTATGGCCAAAATTCTTTCCCGTCGCTCCGGCATGCAGAGTCGTATTGAGGAAGCCGGCGCCCCAGCCGCCTCCGTTTACCGACTGCGGCGCCGTGGTCGAGTCGCCGGCTAGAGCGAAGAACGGCGGTGGGCGCACTACATCTGGAGGAGCTTCGAGGGCCGTGGCTGTGGCCGACGAAGCGAAAAGCCCAAGGTACGACAATGTTGAATAAAAATGCATCTTAACTTGCTTGAATCTCCTGGGTCCAAGCTAAGACTGGCAAAAAGAATTCCTGGTTAGTGCTCTCTCGACGACACGGAAACCTTACACCTTTTATGCATGTATCCGCCTCGGGCCTACTACTCCAACGATCTCGAGCAGGGACTATTATTAGTGACGCACTCCATACCCCCTCAATCGACTCTTGGTGCAAAGGAGCGGTCTAGGTTTGTTTGGGCTCAAAACAAATGGGTAGATTCGACTTAAACTGCACTTTTCCACCAATCGGTTTAATAGCTGACGGCATGGCTCATCGCGCTCCGTGCCATTCATAGTCATCCAATTAACCATTTCTCTCAGTAACGGGATAATGCAAGGTATTCTCGAACACGCAATTGTCAGAGTACATGGGGTCATTTATCTGACTACCATATGTCCTATTGAACTTCAGGGGTAACTGGCAACATCATAGTCATGTCAGACTGCAATGCAATGCTTACGCTCCAGCATCTCCCTTGTCTTGACAAACCGCCCCTTCCCCGTCTCTGTTGTGTTCCTTCTTCATTCTAATAAACTCTTGCTTCATGCTTTCAAACTCCCTGAATCCCTGGAAGTACTTTCGGCGAAAGTCGTTTAACTCACTCGCTCTTGTACCCTTTTCGTATTCCTTCTTGACAGCCTCCAGCGCCCCCTCTGGCATTTCTGATTCACGGCGCCGCCGGTATGTAAGAAGTCGACGCGACCATTTGTTGAAAGCTTGCACGCACACCGATGTCAGTTCCAAGCCTGGATGCGAAGGTATTATCAGTTCAATGTCTTCGTCATTGGCAGTCGGCATCCACATGCTGAGTCGCCCGTCTTCCACCAGCGTCGCAACGGCAAACTCAAGTATATCGTCGAGCAACGCAGTGAAAGAGTACGGTCGCTTGGGTGGAATATACCCCGGTTCCTTGAATTGATCTTGATGTGACTTCCGCTCTTTTTCGAGAAGCTCCTGGCGGGACCCGAGTACCTTGAGGCCTTCACGGATCCCGTAAGGTGGATCGCATACGATGCCGTCGAGATAGCCTTTGCTGTTTTGACTGCCCGTTGGGAGAATCCTTAGTGGTGTGTTTGTGAGATCGGAAACAAAAGCGCCTAGATATCTCGATTCGATACCGTATTGTTTGAAGTTGCCAACTACATCGTACTTTCCCGTCTGCCCTCTTCGAGCACTTCCCCCTGTGCCTCGGATAGTGCGACCGTCGATGTCACTTCCAAACACCACAGCGCCGAAATGTGCACATGCGATTGGAAAGCCACCCGTACCCATGAATGGGTCGTAGAACACCTTCCCTGGCGCTACATGTGCGATATTCGCCGTAACAAGCGTGAGCTCTGCATCCATAGATGTGGTGCTGATGTAGTGTCTTTTCTTGAGATCAAACGTCTTCTTTGCCTCATTACGACACGAATCCGCGATAAAGCGACCAAAATAGAGGTACTTTGGTTGTTTGGCATCTAGCTCATAGTCTTCAAATACGCGGAATGCCACGTCTGGGTCGCGCATTCGTGGAGGTCCCTTGAATGCCATGTACGAGAAACTGTCGATGATTTCACGCTGCTCGTCGGTTGATCTGCCCCCGCGATAACCTTCGATGGTGAAGCGGAAGGAAGACGTCTCGTACTGAGACCATTTGCTTGCAGTTAGATTGCGGACGGACTCATGGAGAGCGTTGTACTCTGCGCCCTCGCCCCATAGCTCGTATATGCCTTGAGAGAGAATGCTGCGGGCGATGAGTTTTCGTGCTGCTGCGTCTGACACTAGTTCCACAATACAGTATGGAGACTTGAAATGTTAGGATGTGGGTTTTTTAAGACAGTGAAATGATCCTTCGTGTACCAGGATAGATACGCAAAAAGATGAAATTCGTGCATACTCGATCGAACATCACATAATAAACCAAATTATGTTAACACGGACTGGGAGAAATAAAAACCACACTCACATCTTCTTGATACTTGACAACCTGCAGTGATATGCCTGCAACATCCGCCAAGGCCTGTAACTCGACCCTGCGGAAACTTTCGTGTGCCTGCGCCAGCCGAACCAGGTACTGCGGCATGGTCGCTTGTAGCCTTCCCCCCAAAAGTGAAAATAAGAAAAAAAAAGTTCAGAGGCTGGATTGTTCACAACCCCACAGTTCTGTACGTCAAGAAAAACTTCTTGAATAAGGTATCGACTCCACTAATCGGGCGATCTTCCAAACTGTTGCTTTTGTCGTTGCCGTGGTGTCTGTGTCAAAATGTAGAGGAGTCACGAGTCCGTCTATCGCGCGCTAGCGGATTGGAGTAAGGATCTGTTTAGTCATCCGCTTTTTGTCTATCATTTCGAGGTTGTCACTAACTAGATCTAAATTACACTTCAGAAATGACGACTATTCGATAAATTCACTAATAACCTCAGCGAGGTACCTTGTAATTTTGAATAGATCACAGCAGAAATACATGCGGGTCAACTCTTTCAAAAATAACCAAGCCTCTTTCCTTCTTCACTATCCGTCCACAAAAGCACAAGCAAAACGCAGTGGCCGGCAGAGATACCACTGCAGAATATTTCGAAAGCTACTTCGCCAACGGCTTAAGCGTGTGACCAGCGATAGTGCGGATAGAAGACATAAATTTTTGGAAGCTTCCTACGTACCTGCATGAAAGTTAGTATGCGGAACGTAATATTGATAAATCACTCACAAGACGTCTAGTCCAACCACAATCGGTCGTCTTACATGGTATCGTTTTCAAACGATTATCGCCATTGATATTCCTTATCTTATATCAAGAGCCTACTACTTCTAATCGTCGAGTCACCCGTTGTTGGGCTTGCTTTTCGACGTTGTTTTGAACCTTCACCTTTTCTTATTAGACACGGGAATAAACCGGAGTAGTAGTTCCTGTTATAGCTGACTACGCAATGATCAAGGATTCTATTCGATCTGGCGTTAGCCGCACGATCCGCAACGTACGAGCGCTTCCTCACTCCCACGTAAATGCACCCCCCTAAATCGGATGACAGTCTTTGGTATGCCATGATCAAGACAATTCCATGCCTGGTTTTCGACTATCTATTGCGGGGAGCCTATCGCTGGCTCATTGCAATTCTCTTAAGTCCGATATCCGCAACTAGTACCAGAGGCGTTCTTTTTTTGAGGTATGGAGCAGATCGGCATAACATATTAAGCTATTCACGTGTAAAGTTCAATTGTGCTCAGTGAAACCCACAACTTTCCTCTTTGAGGCGGTATCCATGTAATCGGGACCATCAATCAATCGACGTTACACGCTTATGTGTGTTGAGCGGAGATGGCATCTCCGACCCTTCGCTCGACGAAATAGGAACATAAATCATCAGCTTATTGCACTACTCAACATCAATATGATTGATGTTGTTCACAATAAAACCCTTTCCTTATTCAGTGTCTCGCCAATTATCTATATCTTTGTTCTCATAGCTGCAATCCCACCTATCTTATGGGTACGTCACTTGGCCACAAAACAGCGACCTCTTCGCGAGGTTCCTATCCTCAATGCAAATGAACAGACGCCTGGGGAGAGCTGGCATACCAAGCCACGAGAGTTGCTTAGTAAAGGAATAAGATTGTATCCCGACCAGCCTTTCCAGATCATCACTCATGGTGGCCCGAGGATTGCTCTTCCCCGACGATATCTTGAAGAAGTCCGCGACTCTCAACAAGCAGCCTTCCCTCCTTATTTCCTGGACGAGGCACCTTGGAACCTGCCCGGTTTCGACGGCCTATTACGAGCAACAAACATGCGTCGCTCCTTCGAGAAACCATCAGTGTTAAGCTCACACAGTCCCTAGGACTTATCACTGAGAGCCTAGCAGATGAAGGTATTCTAGCTACCGAAGACCTTTTTGGAAACCTTGCTCCTGGACAGTGGCATACGATTATATTGCTCCCTGAAGCAACGAAGATAATTGGTCGCTTCCCTGCTCGCGCTATGCTCGGTGAAGAGATAGCTCATAATCACGAATACATTGACATATCAATGAAATACGGCGCCACTGCTTTGACAGCAGCTTTGCGGTTTCGTTCCTGGCCCCGTATCTTATGGCCCATCATACAATACTTTATTCCACTGAGCAAGACGGCTCGATATCAGACTCAAAGAGTACGTCAGCTGATTGTAAAGGAGATTGAACGCTGAGAGAAGGTAGCAAGAGCTACTATTGCTGCTGGTAAGAAAGTTCCAAAGGCACACGACTCCATAGCGTGGATTCTCGAACAAAGTAAGACGGATCAGAAGCTTGATATTGTTGGCTTTCAGTTAGCCATATCTATGGCTGCCATTCACAACACGAGCGGGGTGCGTACAAAATCGCATTTTCTTACATCGAAATTTCTTGGTTTACTGAGAGATTTTAGCATCTGTTCACTGCTCTCTGGTGCCTTATCGCGCATCCCAAATATATCTCACTTCTCCGAGAGGAAGCCATCTCAGTTCTCAAGGAGTACGGATGGACAAGGCAAGCCTTGGCTCGTCTCAAATTACAAGATGCTGTGCATGAGGAATGCATGAGAATACTTCGGGGCAACCTCAGGACTGCACGCCGACAAGTCGTTAAGGGAAACTTGACATTCTCAGATGGATTCACTATTCCTAACAGTCGAAGGTTTTTCGTCATGCCTCCCGCTGATTACCAGGGTGAAAACGAAGAGTTTTATCCAGAGCGCTGGCTCGAAAAACAAGAAGAAGGACAAGCGAACAAATACTCCTTTATCACGGTGAATCTAGAGAATCCAGAGTTTGGAATAGGCAAGCATGCCTGCCCAGGGTGAGTCTTTTTATCCATTCCTTTCCGTTCTCCCATCTCGTTCATGCCCCAGCCCCTCCCCGTAGGGTGCATAGAGACACGTAATAGGATCGCTGACTCGTCACGTATCTAGCCGATGGTTTGCAAACGACGAGATGAAAATCGCACTCTGTATCCTCTTGCTACGCTACGACTGGAAGGCTACGCCCGGTATGCCAAAGCCACTTTTCGATGCGTGTGAGGACTTTCCTACATTCAAAAGCTCGCTCCAGGTTCAAATAACCCCTAGAGAACCGGAAATTGATCTCGCGTCCTCGAAGATGTGAGAATGTTGTAACATCACGCCCAACACTCTCATCCCTATCGCCTTTACTACATGTTACACCATCCTAAAACTACATGGCCTATTGCCTCCTCAGATAGCTATATTTGACATGAATAAAAGACACCAAGAAGTATTGTCCGAGAAATTGACATTGTCTAACTCAAGTATATCGCTATCATCCAAACAAATCCCGCTATGAAAAACTGAATTCACCGCCCAAGTCGTTCATTCACACATGCTCTCCACTAACCAATAAACCCATAACACCCCTAACCCCCTCGCCTCCCCCTACAAACAACATCCGTATCCGCCTCGGCCCACGTCATCTCGCACACAAGTCCCTGCACCACCTCCTCCTTATCCCTGCACCCCTCCGTCCACCTCTCCCTAAACCGTCTCAACTCCCCACTCCACCCATCCCAAAGATAATACCTCCCCCCTCCATCCCTTAGTATAAATTTATCACCTTCTGTAGCCTTGACTACGGGACACAACCCCTCGATACCGTAGTCAGTGGCGAGATTGACAGGGGAGTCCGGGTCGAAGCAGCTTTCGAGGTAGAGTTTTGTGGGGTCGTTGGTCCAGGATTGGCGGAGCGTGTGGTGGTAGGCGCTTGTGAGGGAGATGTAGGGGATGCCGTTGTGGAGGGCGGTGTCTGGTGGGGAGGGGGTAGGGAGAATGGGGCTGGGTGGGACGGGGCTGAGGAGTGATTTTAATGAGTTTAGGAGGTATGATGTTAATTTGCTGAAGCGGAAGGTACGTCGTAGCCATGGTATGGTGTGCAGTAGGAGAAAGCTTATGAGGAAGGAGTGGGCGAGGGTTGGGTCGGGCTCGTGTTTTGTGGAGTGGATCTGGATCATTTTGGGGATGTTTCTTTGGAGATAGTTCAGTAAAGTAAGGTGGCTATATTCATTTCATGCCCTACGCATGCTATCGCGGTGGGATTTGTAGTTTGATTTATGCCTTCTGCATTGCAAAGAGACTGATGTTACATGACCTGCTATGGTAAAAGCAAAGCCATCACCAGACCCTCTTCGCCCAAGCAGAATTATCCACGTAGCTATCCTCTACACCTACAAACCAATGTAGTTTATGGTTTTGTGCCGCTCAGGGTGCAGGGATGGGTGAGCTGCCGTAATGGTGGTGATGTACCTGCCAGAACGTCATCCTTTTCCTGAGTCAAGATGTGGAGACCTTTTCGAAGAGGACATAACACTAGCCGTGCGGAAGTGAGAGTTGGTTACCTGACCTCTAGGGATATCATTGCTCATACAACCAAATCTGTAGAAGCTATCCACAAAACTATTCAGAGATATATCTCAAGTCCTAGCCTTCTGCCAAATGAGTCGGTAACGAAGTGACGTATTCCTGTAAATTCACGACAGCCTCCGCAACAAGCCAAGTGATCATTCTGAATGGGGTGTAAAGACATTGCGACATCGCCTTCTGTAATGGTGTCATCAACTTTGGTTCGCATCAGAATATCTCTTTTGGACTCAAATTAAGCATACAAGGGCGATCTGCTGCAGCCTATCGTCCTCCACGTCAAAATCCATACCATCTGCATCATCTAAGAAGTCACTGAGCTACATGTGCAAGGCCAGTCGTCTCAAGCATACCCTATTCTCTACCCTTCACTTGAACATCCCAATAATCCCATATCCACGTACCTGAAAACAAGGCACAAAAAAAAGCGATCACTCGCCCATGTCGATCAAGCCGCAGATCGGCACAAAAAAAGCTAAGAACGTAATGTAGGTACCACAAGACCCTGCATGTTACTTAGTTTTGGTTTCATTTTGGAAATCTGGGTCCTGACGATCACGCAAATGTGTACGAATCTCAGTGGTTGGGAGATATAAAAGCAAATATATTCCGCGCGACAGCCCTTGTCACAGAGTCATGTTGCTTTGCTTGGCGACTATTCTTTTCTGCTTTCTGATGTTTTAATGTATATATACACACCGTGCATCATGCTGACGCAATGTTCGTTGTGGGTGCTACGTAGTTCTCAGCGTGGATTGTAGTAGCTCCCTCGCATCGCTCTGGACATGGCCTCTTCTGTACCATTGTCATGTATCGTATTGGATTTATTTACCATATACAAGGCACACAGCAAGACTATCATTACAGAACAGCTACCTCTTATTTCCCTCGCAAGTTCTATTTACCTCCCTGATTAAAATTCATACTATAACCCCCACTCTTCTCATCCTTCGTAAACTGAAAGTTATCCGTGCTCAGCCCAAACGGCTTCAGTATTCCATTGCCCAACTGTTTCAGCTTGCCCATCATATCTGCCATCTCCTTGTTCTTCGTCTCTTCCAACTGCGCCGGCAGTGTCCGCAACGCCGCTTGCACCGCCTTCTGATCGAGGCTCGAGAGTCGGTGCGGTGGTTTGAGGAGAGCTTGGTAGTCTTCGAGTGAGCCCTGGAGAGAGGCCCAGCCACCGACTTCGTGGCGGGCTTTTGCGCGGCGGAGAAGTGCTTTGGTGCGGAGTTTGTGGACATCGTCTATGGTGTGATCGGTGCGTGTGAGAGCGTCGAGGTAGATTTCGGTAGTGTCGTCAATCTCTTGGACGGCACCGCCGCCTGTTACTTCTTTTCCTCCGTCTTTACTCGTGTCTTTTGGGGCTGGAGGAGGATCTATGCGGTCCAGTGCCTCCAAGGCTTTTGTGGCGGATTCCACGGCTTGCTTCCATTCCTCCAGCTTTAAGTGACATGCTGCTATGTTGGAACGCAGCACGGCGACATCGTATTCAAGATAGTTTGGACAGACTGCAAGTGCTTTCTCATATCCTTGTATCGCGCTGTTGTATTCGCCTGACGCAAATGTCTTGTTGGCTAAAGCCTTTTCCGCAGTTGCTTCATCGAGTAGTTTCTTCTCTTCATCTGGTGGGAATATTTCGGGTGTCGCCACTTCAGCTGCCTCAGGCTTTGAGAGAGGATCGTTCTTCAACGACATGCCTATCGGTGATCGAAAATGGATTGTGTTGTCAACAACCTTGGCCCATCTGTGGTACCTGTTGATCTGTTTGGAGAGTGACGTCTGTCGCCGAGCCGGAGGTCCGACTAGTGCCCCACGCTTCGGTCCAGTCAATAGGCGTGGGGTACCAAGATCCATTCACCTAGTCGCATCTTTTGCGAATCCTCCCGATCAAGCACCTAAGAACCCTTCCACACGCCTCGAAGACAGCCAAAATGGGTTCAAGGTACGCAGTCCTCACCCAAAGTATTTATATCATATTCAATTGACACGAACCAGCACTACCACCCCACCACCCCGCATACGGGCCGCCCTCTTCGACATGGACGGCCTCCTAATCGACTCCGAAGACATCTACACAATAGTCACGAACAAAATTCTCGAGCGCTACGGCCGCCCACACATCCCCTGGTCCATAAAAGCCCAACTGCAAGGCCGACCAGGCCCACAAGCGGCACTGATCTTCCACGAATGGGCCAAACTCCCCATATCAAACGAGCAATTCCTCGCCGAGCAATCAGAACTCCAGCGCGAACTCTTCAAAACTACAAAACCGCTACCGGGCGTCCTGGACTTGCTGGAAGGCCTGAAGAGCAGGGGGGTGCATATTGCTCTCGCAACGAGCAGTCACAAGGGCAACTTTGAATTGAAGAGCGCGCATCTTGGCCATTTGTTTGATCACTTTGCGCCTGAACACCGTGTTTTGGGGGATGATCCGCGGATAGCGCCTGGTCGCGGGAAACCTGCTCCCGACATTTACCTTCTTGCGCTTTCGACACTCAACAAGACATTGGAAGAGCAAGGACAACCGCCTATTCGGCCGGAAGAGTGCTTGGTTTTTGAGGATAGCGTGCCAGGGGTTGAGTCTGGTCGGAGAGCAGGCATGCAGGTGGTGTGGTGTCCCCATCCAGATTTGTTGGTGGAGTACAAGGGCAGGGAGAAAGAGGTACTTGCAGGACTGACGGGCGAGTACAAAGAGACTGATGAGGAAAAGAAGAAGAAGGCGGAGGAGTTGGCTCTACAAGGAGAGCGACAGATTGACACGACTATGCAGATTGACGATGGATGGGCATGGTTGTACAGTACCCTGGAAGGCTTTCCATACGATACCTACCAAATAGAAACAAAGGTCTGAGATATGGGGTCGGGGTAGCCAAAGAGATACCTTATTTAGAATTATAGCAAGGTATTCCCGTAGATTGACTAATAAGAACACTAAACTCACGAAACTCTTCATTCCACTTTGGACGCAATCTTTCCCTCCTTCATAAAAAAACATGATTCGTATTGTTTTGTCATATACTGAATGATTTGATCGTCATCTGCATGCACATGCTAAAGTGTGAAGCAGCAGCGGCTCATAGACCCATAGCCATACTCGGCCATTTCGGATTACACTCCCATTCATTCCCCAAAGACTGTGTCAACGCCGATCTGTCATGCGCACTGCCCGCTCAATCTCATGTGGTACAACTCGTTAAACGCAAGGAAAGTGGCCTATTTATGCGACCTCCTCAATCTTGGGCTTGTCGCCTGACGCGGCGGCTGCGGGCGCCTTCTCCTTGTTGTCCTCGTCATTTTCGAGCTCAGGCATGTCGTCATCGTCGTCGCTGTCGTCGCCGCCGGGGGCACCACCACCCATGTTTGCCATCATTTGGCTCATGTCCATGCCCTCCATTCCAGGCATTCCACCCATGCCGCCTGCGCCAAGCTTGCTGAAGTCGATGCCACCAAAGCCTCCGTCACCACCACCCATGGGGTTCATTGCGGACGTGTCAAGGTCATCTGCGACTTCGTCTTGCTCGTCCTCATCGACCCACTGTGACATGTTAGCTTCGTTCTCGTGGCATTATCATTACTGGCTAGCTCACCTTGTCGAAATCGGTCTTGAGGAAGTGCTGCCTCTTCGACTCCTTGAGCAGACGGGGCCAGTACTCCTGCTTGTGCTCTTTCTTCCTTAGTAGTAGCTCAATGCCACGGCCGTTGTTATGCCATTTGCAGTTTTCAGTGTCGATCTCGGCGTAGAATTCAAGGTCGACTGCGTATGTGGCCTTCTTGGAAGTAGAGGTACCCTTGAAGCTGAGAGATTGGTCCTTGAGTTCGAGCTTCAGGTCGTCGTTCGATAGGTCGGGGGCAACGATGGTAAGATGGATTATATTCTTAGCCGGTTCGTCGGCGGATGAGCGTTGCGCCCAAAAGACTGTTGCGTATTAGCATATGTTGGATGGTAAGAAAGGCCCCGGACGCGTCTCCGATAGTCGTAAGTGGTCTACAAATAACAACAAATCGGATTGCGTCTCCATGGACTTGAGAGGGTGTGCAAGGCACAAGTGAAGTATCTCTGGAGCTTTGGTGGTAAACAAGGCTGTAACATACCTTCTGGGGTGATAGTAGTCATTTTCAAGGTCGTGATTGTATGATGTGGTGTTCGGTTCAAGTCCGGATACGCTTCAGCGTGTGTCTCAGTTTATGTAATGGGCGTTGATTGTTGTTCAGTCAAAGTGTTTGTCTGGAGGAAGCAGATTGAAGGCGGAAGAAATGCGGCCCTGTGGAGAGACTAGCGTGGAAAGTAATAGAAGCTCTGTGGAATCTTTGGGTTCAACGACCCGTTTTTGGTCAATCGATTACGAAATGCAGGTCGGAGGACAGTGTGGACGCGTATGTCACCCGTGGATTTGTATTTTCTTGCTTATCTCACTCGCTGTCGCGGTGGCTGGCAGACTCTGGACTCTGAGGCTAGTGGGCTGCTCGTGCCCCGCGAAGGGTTCAACGTCACCATGGCCCGAGCTCGGCCTGGAGCCGGTCCAAGGCCGCCATCCTTACGACACCTCGGGCCCTGACATGCAGCACATCCACATGCACATCCACCTACTGCCCTGTCACATGCTCCCATGCTATTCACCCTTCGCTTGACCTGCTACTATTCTGCCATTCGCCCCGTCTAGCTGCCGTCACGTGTCTCTTGATTCTTGAGCCTGCCAACTCCCGCCCAACCCGCATCCACTAGCGCCAGACGACTCCCACTCCCAAGAACTGCGCATCTGGCGCCAGCAAAACCATACTGTGCGCATCCAGATAGACTGATTGCCCACTATGGAGACCATCAAGGGTCTCCTGTGGAAGCCCACGCCCGAAGAGCAGGTAAGATAGTGCTACGTCACCACATCACAATCTCTACACGACAATCTAACAAACCCACAGAAGCGCAAATGCAATGCCCTCGTGCGCCAGAATGTCCGAAAGCTCGATCGCGATATCCAACAGCTCAAGGCCACGGAGCAAAAAACCAAAAACCTCATCCAACAGTCATCCAAACGCGCCCAGCGCAACCCAGCCATGGCCAAGCAGGCCAACCAAGACGTCCGCATCTTCGCCCGCGAACTGATTCGCGTGCGGAAACAAAACAACCGTCTCATGACATCCAAGGCACAGCTCAACAGCGTGCAAATGCAGGTCAACGAGGCCTTCTCTGTTAGGAAGATTGAGGGCAGCATCAAGGCCAGCACGGGTATCATGAAGGATGTGAACAGTCTAGTCAGACTTCCAGAGCTGACAGGCACCATGAGGGAGCTCAGCTCTGAGTTGATGAAGGCGGGAATCATTGAGGAGATGCTCGATGACACGCTGGGCGAGAATGAAATGCTGGAAGGGGAAGCTGAGGAGGCGGAAGAGGAAGTTGACAAGGTGCTCAGTGAGGTGCTCAAGGATCGGTTACCGCCGAGCAAAGCTCAAGAGGAGGAGCTTCCTGCTGCACCCCAACCAGAGGAGGAAGAGGAGGAAGACCAGGCAGAGATGCTGGCTCAAATGCGGGGCCGACTCGAGGCTCTCAAGAGCTGAGTCTATTCATGCCGATTACTTTTGATCTTTTCGTCCATAGAGTCATCATGTGGTGTTACGGCGTTGTGGCGCATTGCGAGCACCCAAAGTGGCATACGAGTTGCATATTCAAAATTCATATTTTGCCAATCCAACGAGAAGCCAATGTGATGGCATATGAAATGAGAGTCACAAGGAACCATTTTCACATCAACAGCACACTTGTAATTTCTTTTCAGTATTGGCTGGTACTCTCTTGACATGCCATCCTAATCTCCTCTAATAATCTTTCCTATAAACTTCAGTTCCCACTCCTTCGGATCGTCACCAACAAAACGTGCATTCGCCCGCTCATCCAGCACCAGTGTCGTGACCGCAATCCCACTGTACCATTCCCGCACCTTCTCGTCAGCATCCTCGTTCCATACCGTCAGCGTCCCATCAAGATTCATCGATGTCACTTTGGGAGGGACACCGCGCATCTTGAGCAGCATGTTGAGGATATCGCTGAATTTTTCGCCTTGCTGAGAGAATGTGGACGGGGACTTGTCGAGTGGCCATCGGGGATTGCGATAAGGCTGGTTCAAAAGGTCTTGTGCCCGTGCTGGAGGAGACGAAGAATGGACTGTAGTGGAATCGAGAGCAGACACAAGGTCGGCGTGAGAGTTGGACGTCTGCTTGCAAGAGTCGTTACCGCTTTCGCCTGGTGAAGTCGTAGATGGAGCTTCCCAAGAACGGAAGAGCCAGCACATTCGCTCTACACAGGCCAGGAGTATAACTGCAACAAGAAAAGTTTCAAACGGATTTGCTTGTTGGCGCTGCAGTAATCTGCGTTCGAGGTCGTTCATAACAATGCGTGCAAGACATGCTGCCCGCTTCTCTGTCGCGCCCATGAGCTGCATGCTAATGAGGTTGTGGGAAGAGGCATGCTCCAGAGGTGTAATAGGCATGCGAATTGCATCGTCGATATCTGCGGCAGACAAAGTTGAGGGGGCCAGAGTAGGTGCAAGAGATGGATTGGAGAACAAGTGCCATTCGAAGTTGCGGGACGTGAGTATGCGGGTTAGATTCCAAAGCTCCAGCGACTTGGATATCAGTCCATCGGGGCTCAATGATGCAATGCTTTTCGCGCTGTGTACCGTTGCCTTCATGAAATGGGATTCCTCGGTGTCGGCAAAGTGACCAGCCATCTTTTTCACATAGTGATCTACTTTTCCACTAACATCATCATCGTTATCTATCAACTCCAAATCTGGTGACGCTAGTCCTGAGAAAATAGCCGGGTCGATATCCGTGGTCTGGGTCGCTGCGGTTTGTTGACATTTCAGTGGGGTAAACGTTGCAAAAGTCCCAGAAGCAGGGAAGTGGCTGGCTTCTATCCGTCCTGGTGTCTGATCAAGTCGTATCTGGCCTTTTGCTTGATTGGTGGCGTGGAATGCGAGGACGCTGTGCAAGCCCGCGGTATAGAGCCCAAACTCTTCTGCTATCCGTGTCCGAATGCAAGGTTGCTTCCAAAGCCTTGCGCTTTCAACATTCTGGCAAGTATTGCATGGATTTTCTCCAGAACAAGGCTTCTTGAGCATACGACACCGGATACACGCGCCTCGCTTGCGAACCTCTTGCACTTCCTTCCGCCTGGAGTCGGTGAAACGCCCTCTGACCTTTGGCTTTGCTGGCTTTTGGTTCATACTAAAGTCCGTTGTGAAGTGCGTTTGATTACCCGCGTTCATGGCAAGCGGTCGCTGGTGACCCATTCCTTTGTGATTGTCGTTCATGTGCATATGTTCTTTGCTATGGTCTTGCAGCATGGGGTCGAGTGAATTGGGTTGTATATTCGGCCAGTGCCCACGTCCTTGCGTATGAAAGAATTTTCCGTCCGACATGTTGTGCAGACCATGTCCCGAGAGATTCATATCCGAATCCATTGACAAGCCGTTGGTCAGCGGCATCAGATCGTTTGCCGCAGATGCCGCCATGACGAGTGAAGGAACCATGTGCGACATGGATGAGGAGTTTGAAAGAGGCATGTGGCCCATGTGCGGGGAAGTTGTCGGTGAGTGATGCAGCGAATTATTGAACTGGTACATAGACGGCATAGCTGGTGGGTTTGACATGTCCATGCCATGTGAAAGGCCACCCAAATCGGAACTGTCCGGTCTGTCATCTTGTATCAGAAACTCTTCCAATAGCCCTGCATGACTTGCATTACTGTGGCCGTGTTGCGTTTGTGAGGGCTGCTTCTCTGCCATTCGCTTTCCAGACAGGTCCAAGTGTTGTCGCGAGACCTCAGCTAGCGTCTCGAGAGCAGAGAGCTGTTTCGACGGTACAAAAGGAAGGTTCATTTTCTGGCCATGCTGCATTTGGCTCGGTCCCGGTGCGTTCGTACTGGCCGTCTGCGTCATGTTGTCGGGGAGGGGCAGCTCGTGCATTTGCAGCAGTGCACGCTGCCGGTCCTGAAGTGGCAGGGCAGGACATTTCTTGACCAGGTGGTTGGTGAGGCTGTCTATGCGACCTTTAGGAAACTGCGTCGTGTGAGCTATTACTCATTTCGCCTCGAGACGTTTTGTCGCGGGGTTATGTACCTTTTCGCCGCACGATTTGCACGTGTGTTGGTAGCGGTTGCTTGCATCTTCGAGCTTAGGGCCGCGCTCGAAGTATTCGAGGATCAGCTGGTTGGGTCGGCGGCCCATGATCAGCCCAGAAGTTGAACCCTTCAACCCTACAGTGCGTTGTGGAATGTTTTTGCCGGACTTATTGCGCGGTGAGAACCTGGGCAGCTTTGGCGGTGTAAATTCGGAGGATGTGATTGGCTGACCGGTGCTCAAGAACACCTACCCTCAGTCTCGCAATGATAATACGGTGAGGTGTCCGGAAGACAATCGCACTGTTTGTTTGACAAGAATACGTGTCTTGTTACTCACCTCCCATTTTTCACGGTACATTAGTGCGTGGTGGTCAACCAGATAGCAACTTGGCACCAGAAGTTCATTCACCGCCACAAGTCGATGTGCATATTTTGCGCCGATAGCCTCATGTTTCCGTGGTACGCCCAATTCTTTTATCTTGAAAGAAAAGAAGAAGATATACAAGTAGGCCGCGGTATATGGGGGCATAGTCTAAGGCCGGTTGACTATAGGTCAGCCAAGTTGTTGTTAGCGGTGTAGTCGTGCACAAATGCAACGCTTTAGTAGAGACATTATCGTGAGTTAGCAAGATAAAAGGTATTCATGCATGGAATGTATTCTCACCTACTATGGCCCTGCGATGACACTTGAAAGTATCTCGGAAAGTGATGACGTCAACGTGACCTTCTCGACGACACATTCGTCATTATTGATTAGGGAGACTACTCAAGCTTTGAATTATAACACACTCTCCACAGACCCAAAAACCTCTTTTAGATTTCCCATAACTAAAAATTATCACTCTCATCATCTCAGAACCCCTGGGCAGTTTAAGACATGTCGTCCACAAAGTCACCAGCAGCAAACCCGAGCATAACGCCTGACCTTGCTCAAGACGGTTCAATCATCCGCAAAGCCTTCGTTCTCGAAGCCGTTGCAAATCTCTTCACCATTCCTCTAATCACAAACACACGATTCACTCTCTCACTACTTCTCAACAATCCGTCTCGGGACATCAACCCGGCATCAATCTTATTCGCGCGCCTTTTCGGTGGCTTGATTGTTGGTGGACTTACATCGGCACTGTTCGCTGGCGCAACCAATACTAGAAATGGCATCGAGTCTAGGAGGCCGACTTACTTACTGTTGGGCCTAGGCGAAGCATGCCTGATTCCTATTCTGATGCTGGAGTTGATACAAGGGGCGCCTCGTGCAGCACTAAGTAGGACGGTTGCAGGGGTAAGTATTGGGTTTTTGCTGCCTCCATTGCTGTGGAGGATGTATGTACTGTTCGTCAGGCCGGATTTGCTGGGTAGATATACAGAAGAGAGAAAGGACAATCGTGGTGCAGGCAGGAGAGACGGATGTGAGTACACGTTACCGTGTAACATTGAGAAGTATGCTAACAAGACCTAGATGATTCTATCAATACGCGTGACGATTGACGTGGACATTTAAGAATATGAGGTTTCGCTCATGATGACGCTTGCTCTCGTTGCGGAGTTTTGGTGTAGTTTGCGTATTGATTCGAGATTCCGAAATCTAGTACTTTTCCGTGTTGTATTTGTAAAGGCCAAATACCCATAAACGCCGCGCTGAAATCATTTGTGATGCTCGAGGTGCCAGTGGCACAGTTCTTTAGTCTGCAAAGCCTCCCCACTCCGCTTCCTCATCATCTTCTTCAGGCTCGCTTGCGACTTCAGTTTCCTGCCCTCTCCAAGCTCTTAATCTTTCATCAGCGAGACACTCTTTGGCCGCATTTCTCAATGGTTTCAAGTTTCCATTCTTTGCCATACTCTCGATTGGCTGCACCAGCTTCTCCAACGTCTCCTTATTCTCCTCCTTCTCCCATTCATCGCCCTCGACGTTCTCTAGCTCATCAACCCAAACATCCATGACATGATATCTGAGCCCGTTAGGAATCCTCATGTTCTTGCATTCCAAAGGCGTCTCTTCCATGATGCTGTTCCACTGTTCCACTAGGTTCTTCTTCCACTTGTTCCGACTAAGGAATGCGAATGAGGCGTTAACGTATTGACGGATCAGGTAGAGGTATTTGTCGAGTCTTAGTGCTTCAATATGGCCCCATTCGCGAGACATGGTAAGGAAGAAGGCGCGGATGAATGGCAGAACTACTGGCGTACGAAGGGTAGATACAAGGGATGCGAGGTCGCGGGAAAGGCGCTGCTGAAGGGCGGGTTTGTCTTGCATCCACAAGCCTGTAAAAACTGTCTTAGCCCTATCGTCTGGCTGATCACGGAGGCATATGAAGTCTCTCGTCAAGGCAGCCACTTGTATGAGACATACAGTAGAACAGTCCTTTCCATAGTTTTAGGAGATCGAGTTCCAAGATTTCAGATTGTGCGCCAAGGTATTGTTTCAACGCATCAAGCGCCTGGTCGCGAACTTTCTTGTCTGTCGCAAACGTCAGTATATTGCTAACAGTGTTTCAATATGCTCTATATGCATACCACTCGAGGCAAGGTTCCTGATAAAAGGATTGTTCTGCGCGTCCGAAGTCATCTTGTGCGAAATGAGGGTATTGCTGATGTACTTAGGTGGAGTTCAAGATGCGCGCGGAACTTTTTTTGGGGTTGCGGAGCTAACATGGTTATCGATAAGACCGCCACTCGTGGATTAGCGCCCCCAACTACCGGCAGTCGAGCTCTGGCTTGAGCTTATGTAGTTGTCGAAAAGAAAATAGAAAAGAAACGCATTGATGTATTCTAGATATAGTGAATGGTTTTTATTATGCAGCGATACAGATTAACAGCCTTCCATTTCGAAAGACTGGATTGATTAGAGCAAAGCGGATGATTTCGGAAACCTAAATTTCAAATCGATCGCTGCATAAGCATCCAGAGATGATAAAATGTATAGACGCGAATTGTATTTGCCTAGTGGCCTATATAGTGCATACGTACTTGCTCAAATATTCGCCGTAGATAGGACCGAAGTCTAGAGTAATGTTACTTTAGTGTAAGATGCAGCCAAACAAGACTAGGGTGACACTGGGGTGAAAACGGTAGCGAACGACGCGTTCCTTAAAGGAGATGTATTGGCTAAGGCAGTGAAGGGATCGTGCAAGCATGACTTAGTGTAGATACGTCTATTATAATACTTGTAACGGCGCAGGCAAGACTGTTCGGATCAGTATCGGCAGTAGTGTCACTCAGAGGCATATGGGAGTGCGTG